TTTTTTTTTTTTATTTCGTCGCAGTCTCAATATTCTAAAATCTTAAATTGACATTTTTTGGTTCTCACTAAATTTTTAATTCATTAAGGAGATTAATTATCCTAGCGATAATTTATCATAATGTAAAAAATATTTAAATTTCTTTCAATTTTATACAATATACATAGATTTTAGCTAGAAGAAGCGATGATGAAGAAGAAAGGAATTTTTATAATTGCATTTGATAATTACAATGTTTAAAAATAGATTCGATATGGTTAAGAAAGAATAGAGAATAAAATGTTGCTCCTTAATTTAAATAACAAAAGTAATACCTTATTTGCACATGCTTGCCAAATATAATTAACAAAATAAGAATGATTTCGTACAATAGAATGATTGCGCTGCGAATTTTGCAACTTATGCATAACTCGAAAGTATTAAAATGTATAGGATATATAAATATACATAAAATATTCAAAATAGAGGACTCGTCTTAATTAATAAGTAAATAATCTATAATTTAAATTTTGTTTCTTCAAAAACATAGAAATAAATAAAAATCCACAGTCTACTACTGATAATTTACCTGTGAAACTGCAAAGGTTCCAGTGATCTTTTTTTCCTATGAGTATGCAAAAGCATACTAGTGTCTTCCATATTTCCAGACCAAAATACTATCCTATAATCATCTAAATTTGTGTGTTCCACGCCTGTTTAGAAAAACATAGATTCTTCCATTATTTCGTATATATTTTATTTTTCTAGTGAATTTGTAAATCAGTATTTTCTATCAAATGGCACGTTATCATTGCACTCACATAAAATTGGCCACTTGTTGGAATCCTCCGGGTTCGTGTGCGTATCTAGTAAATTCCCTCGTAAATCGAATCTACACCAACCTAATTTACCATAGACGAAGAAGAATTGATTCGTCAAATGTACTCCGCATACTGGGTCTTCATTTGGAAGTGGATTGTCGATTATAACGAACTCGCTCGTCAGAGTATTTAACACGACACTCTGTTACAAAGAATCACTCGAATTGTTTTTTTTTGTATTTTATTTTATATTATAGTTACATCTTTATTCTGCGTAACATCGATACTTCACGTAAAAGAAATTGATTTCATAGTACGGCACAAGAGAGTATTCAATTTATCGAGGCCTAAATTTCACATTATTAAATGCTATTATACGTAATAAAACTATGGTTAATAAATCATTATTAAAAAGTTTCTCCTTCAAGAATTTAAAGAAAATTATTAATTTTCTTCAAAATTGAAAGAAATGGATCGTTAAAGAATATAAAGGCATATTATTGAACTTTGTATGAAAAGAAAGCAGTATTTAGAATACAGAAATAATGTTATATTATAAAATATGTCTAATTAAAATTGCAATATGCGTATAATTTAAAGTCTATAGGTTTTATATTATAAAATTTATATTGCAAAATTCATTTAAAACTAACTTTATTATAGTTTGAAGTTTCAAGTTCATAAGTTTTGTGTACTACAAAATTTATACCATAAAATTTTACTGCGTCGAAAAGAATTTACATATAATTAAAATTTCTGCAAAATACGTATAATTGGAAGTTCATAGTCGACTATGTAACATTAGACATTTTAAAATTTGTTCTAAGATTTTTGAACAGTGGTATATTTTTTGTACTACGTCAAAAATGCAAGTTATTTTAACTCACAT